GGTCGTTGGGCAGGGGCGGCTTCAGTGGGCGCGCGGCAGAGGCGCCACGCGCGGCAGAGGCGCCACGCGCGCCACCCGTGACGGGGGGTCCCCGTCCTGCCCGGTCCTGCCGCGCTGCCCGGGAGCTCCGCGCAGCAGCCGCCTCTCCCACCCCAGCCTGGCTCACGCCTGGCTGCTTTTGGCTCCTCGCAGCTCGCGTGCCTGGGCCGTGGGTGCCGGTTGTCTCTGGCCAGCCATGAGCAGGGGTCCCTTGGAGGGCCGGGCGCCGCTGCGCACAGGCAGCTCCGCACTGAGGTGGCCTCGCTCTGCTCCCACGAGACACGGCCCGTCAGCCCAACCCGTGGCCACCAAAATGACAGCAGCCACCCACGGTGCTCAACCATGAGGAGGGGTCAGAGAACCCTCTCATCACTGCAGCACTCTGAAGGAAAAAAAAAACCACATATTTCCACAGTTTTCTGTCTTCCAGATGGTTGCAGCTCAGTGCTGTCACACACTCAAATGAGCAAACCTCTGGGGGTGGAAGACGATGTGTCTGAATGGGAATGATCACCCCGTTCGGCCCGTGCCTTCCTGGTCTCCCCTTGGAAATTGTGGGGGGAAAAACACTTTGCTCGTGTCTATGCCATATGAACAGATACTCCAGACAGTTGTGCAAATACAGTTGAGGTTTTCACTCACACCGTTTTAGCACCAGAGAGGATGTGTGGGAGGCTTCAAAAGACACATTCCCTGACGCAGCGCGCTGGGTATGGAACGCAAGTGTCCTGAGGTTCATGTTCATAAGCAGAGAAGGTCCAAAATGGGGCGAGGAGGATGGTCTGCTCCTAGGACAAAAATGAGAAAATGAGTCTTACAGGGGCTCACAAGCGATTTAACTAGATAAGTTTGTAGTGGGTACAGAAAAAAAAGCAAGTTGCTTTTTTGTGCTGGGCAGTAATAAGAAAAGAACATTTCAGCAGAAAAACGGCAAATTCATGTTGGAAAAAAATACAATATTCACTTCCTTTGAGAGGAATCAAGTTTTCTGTAGAAGTTTGAAAGGGTTTTGTACAACCTACAAT